TCCTCCCGTGGTACAATATCCCACGTCCGATTCTCCTCCAAAGCATCCATTTTCACACGCATGACAACATTCCACTGAGGATCCCGTGCCGCCTGGGAGTAATGCATGAGAATAACCATAGGTTCAACATAGAAGCTCACAAAGTTGTTAATGCGCGGAGGAGGTTGGCCTAAATTTGCCCGAGCTGACCGACGCAAAGGAATGACATGCTATACAGGTGAGGGAGGCTGCTCAGTTTCATGGTTCGAGGTCGTGGAGCTTGAACTTGAGGATGCCGAGCTGTACGTGCTATCAGGACCAGAAGAAGATGACCTCGAGGAACTGGATTGGGAGTTTCCAAGCGAGGAAGGCTTAGTCGAGTCACTCGAACTCGATGAACTGGTGCGCTCCGGGGAAGCTGTGGGCGACGAGGAATGGGGTTCAAATGTGGGTAATGTTGTGAGAAACTCTAAAGCTTATGCTGAACTCACATCAACATGGGACGATGGGTAGTATATAACTTTCTCCAAAAACTTGACGTGACAAGCTATACTCATGCGACGATCAATAGGGTCATAGCACAGGTACCCTTTATGTTTCTCACTATACCCAACAAAGTCGAGTAATTCGGGAGCCGTGAGTATAGTGCCTGAAATGGAGATTCTGCCCTAGTAGAGGTGTGATCTCACGGTTAATCAAGTAGACGATTATGTGAACTACTTCCACCCAAAAACCAACCGTGTGCTTGAGAATAAAAAAGAATGGCGCGAGTAAGCTCTAGGACATGTCTATGTGTAGTGGCGTAGGGAGATGAGAAGGGAGTGGGGTCCTAGAGTAAGCTCTAGGACATGTCTATGTGCAGTGGCGTAGGGAGATGGGAAGGGAGTGGGGTCCTAGGACCCCACTTGAATATATTATAATAGTTATATGTATGTAAATATTTGTTTAATTTGAGTAGATTTAAAATTCAGGATCTATTCATATAAAATTTAATTGTCCTAGTATTATGAAACACACAAATAAATTAGACTATATTTGTCATATATCATTGAAAATCCCCAATTATATAGTGCTTATTCTGAAAATTTCTAATTCTACTAAATATGTGTACAAAAACCTTCAACTATATCTAAAGCTCTTAGTTGAACAATTTTTCCTATCAATATACAATTTCTTTGTTATCAAATATGTTTTATAAAACGTTTGTGTGTATTAGATTTTGCTTGGAAACTATATATTTTAGCTGGTTATTGAAATGTCACCTTTTAATTATGAGTTACACAAAATGTAAGATACAAATATAATAACTAATGGTTTGATGAATGACTATTTAACTGAATATTTTTAAAAATATTTACTTAATAATTGAATACAATGTTATAAATTTTTTTCATAAATAGGACCCCACTAAATTCGAATCCTGGCTACGCAACTGTCTATGCGTAACAACCAGGGGTTAATTGCACCATCTAGCACTTAAGTTTACTATTTGTTGCACGTTAACCACCTCAATACTTTTTGTTGCAACTAAATCATTTACGTTAATATTTTGTTGCACCGTTATCATTTCTGTCCACCGAACTAACAGTAGGTGTCCAGGCGTAATTTATCATGCCACGCGGGCTGCCACATCAACTGTTGTAGGCTGAGTCATATGTGGGCCACCATCAAATAAATGAGCCCTTTTTAATATTTTTCCCCCAATCCTTCCCATACCTTCCATATTTGCAAGAGGGCTACTATATGCCGCCCGTAAAAAACACTAAAAAGACAATTTTGCCCTCCAAAATTTTCTTTATATTCTATTCGCTGAAATGGTTTTTTAAACAAACACACCACCCGAGTCCCGACCACCAACCCCCCACAAACACCATTGCCAGATTCACGGCCACCGGACGGCAGCCTAAGTCACCGACCACCGGACCTATCTCGTCAGCATAATTCGCCGGGCACTGGACGGCAATCGTACCCCATCGTCGGACCAGTGAAGCAGGTAAACCCCCGTGACTGACCTCGTGGATTTTTTTCTTTATATTCTATTCGCTGAAATGGTTTCATAGAGTAATAATGATACATACAATTTGTTATCTACTTAATATTTCGTTTGATGTTATCTACTTAATTTAACTAGATAGGTAGTTATTTAAATATTTATTTCAACTTACTCAATTACTTAACTAAAACATCATAGATAATTATTTAAAATTATTTAATCCAATAATTATTTAGATATTTATTATAATAAAGTATCTATTAGCATAGTCAATAATTATCTATTAATCTCTTATAATAAATTATTTGATTAGCAATTTGTTCATATTCATAATTTATCAATTACTAATTATGATACATACAACTTGATTATCTAATTAATTTAACTAGATAGTTACTTTACGATATATAGTTATTTAAATAATTATTTCAACTTACCCAATTAATAAACTAACACATTATATAATTACCAATTATATACTAATTATTCAACTATCAATATTAAACTAATTAAGATACTAACAATTGTATTTAAAATAAATGTAATAAATATTAATTTAAATCGAACCAGAAACCCAATCAGACCGGTCCGACCAGACCGGGCGGGCAGGGTCCGACCAGACCGGGCGGACCGCGTCCGCTCCGGCGTGTCGGACGGCGGCGAGACCGAATTAAAAAAAAAACTTACCTGGGCGGTGGCGGCCGAGATCGACAGAGGGAATGGGCGGCGGCGTCACTTCTGGCGGCGGCGACTTCGGCAGAGGAGGTCCTGGCGGCGGCTAGTCGATGGTGAGCAGCAGGAGGAGGTCGGTGGTGAGCAGCAGGGGTGGGAAGGGAAGGCAACAGAAGGGAGGGGTGATATTTGGGGTAGTTAGGTTTAGGGTTTTTGAAATGAGGCAGGGGAAAAATCGTCATGTTTTTTATAATTACGGGCGGCAAATAGTAAAACTACGGGCGGCAAATAGCGATTCAGATTTGCAAACCATTTCATTAAAAAACCAGTGCCATTCTCTTCATCTCTTCTCCAGTCCTTCTTCGTGGAACTCCATTCTCCAATCTCTTCTACTCTATTCTATTCTATTAACTTCTCTTTTCCATAGCCAGAAATCATTCTATTTCTCCAATCTTTTTCTCTTCTGCATTTTCATCTTTTTTCTTTTTTTACAACACTCGAATGGCATCAACAGCAACTCCATTGTGCCGTTGCGCGAAACCAACGATTCTCCGTACCTCATGGACCGATACCAACCCGATAGACGCTTCTTTGGCTGCTCCAACTATGGTGTATGAATAACACAGGAATCTTGGCTTTCAATTTCACTTAAACAGCTCTCACCAAGTTTTTATTTTCGTTCTTTCTTTGATTCACAAGATGGGAAAGCAGGTAATTTTTTTCCGTTGGATCGATCTGCCAGTTGAGAAGAACACTAAGAGGGTTCTTCTTTCCTTACGTAAGAGGATCCCCGAGCTGGAGAGTAGGAACAACCACAAGTCATTTACTGATTTACATACTTGGGATGGTGTAATTTTCCAGCTTGTCTTTGCAATAGAAAAAGTATGACAGTTGCACACTCAACCAAAGCTATGGACTGCCTCAATAATCTAAATTGAACTGAATCTTACCTGAGCTTGGCTACTGAGAACAACCTTGACCTCAAGGTTGTAGTTGACTTCTACCTCCTTGACCTTCCGCTTTCTTCGTTTCCAATTGCGTTCCAACTCACGAATGACTTCTTCAACTCCAACGTTCTTCCACTCTTCTCGAATTTCATGACACACGTCACATTTCCTATAAACGAACAAATCTTCCTCTTCCTTTTCAAAATCTACGAAATAAGGATCGGGAAATGATTCTTCCTTGAGCCCATTCTCATAAACTGCCTCGGAAGCTTCAAGGAACCGCTCCCTCAATTCCGCAATGGGTTTGGTGGTGAAGATAAACTCAAGCTTTCCCCATTCCTCTCTTTCTTCACTTTTGGGTCGGCCCACATGAATTCGGAAGAAAGAATTATTGCTCCATCCAATTTGAAGCTCTTGTGCATTCCACCTCCTTTTAATTTCGTTTGGGCTTATCTCCTCTAAACACCCACTTGTTAAGCCCATCAAACACTCTTCCTCCATTAAGTTATGTCCCTGCAAAACATATGTAAATAAATGGCCCATTGGTGGACCCGTCCCATCTTGTAGAGTTGGCCAGCTCAAGATGTGTCCAACAAGCTCATTATCACTTCTCGGCCCAATTACTGACCTATTAGAAGAAAGAGCCCAACCAGTTTGGCCCAGCAACGACCCTTCATTTCGGCCCGACGAGAAATAGTCCAGCCGAGGGTGTGCGGTGCGGCCCAACAAGAGTAGCCTAGGGTTCGCGAGGGAAGCGACGCCGCCGCCGCCCTCCTTCCTCCTCGATTCCTTTACCGGCGGCAAACAATCCCGCCGAAGGCACGGCGGCCCACCCATTTCGGCCGCCGTCCTCAATTCCGTCCCGTACTCCGGCGTCGCCCATGCCTCCGCGACGACCTTTGACACAACTGGAGCCGTCGTCAATCCCACGACCCGAGGTGCAGTGCTGCCTTCTCGCTTCGCCTTCTTCAACGACGAGTAGGCCACCAGAAGGGTGGTCGGCGACCTCAACCTGGCCGCCCTCGACCTCGGCGGCACGCCACCCGAACCCGGCGTCTTTAGACCTCTCTCCTTGTCGAACAGCGCCATGGCTGGAGCCGGCGTCGATTGCAACGGAACCCGACGTGTTGCCGCCATCTCCTCTTTCCCTTCCGATCTCGCCCCGAAAGCAACCGACACGAATCGTTGCTGCCCCCGCGCGAGTCTCCTCTCTTCGCCCGATATCGCCCAACATGAACTCGTCGTCGGTCACCTCGCGAGCTTTGCAACTCCGACGCATCACACCAGCGGTTCGTCGTTGCCATCACCAAGGAAGAGGGGACACCACCGCCGTCGTTCTTCGTCATCTCATCATTCGGTGGTGTCTTCTTCTCCCCGATGGTCATCGACAGGAAGTGAACAGTCGCCAATCATCGGGATCCTCGTGCGATTTGATGCTTCGGGGAGTCAATCCCATGATGCGTCATCGCCCTTGCTTCACGCCGTGGATCTGTTTTCACACAAAGCCCCGCCATTTTTGCTCCGCCGGATCTGGGCTTCTTTCGGAACCTCCAGTTCGCAACGCGGCTTGGCGTTAAGATCTTCTTCGACCCCTCATCTTGGAGTTCTTGAGACACGACCGCCCTCCCCTTGCCATGGATAGTGGCAAGATCTCCTCCTTTTTCTACTTCGGCTACCACAACTCCATTAAAATCGGAGGCCTTGCTCCGCTCCTTCTCTGCAGAAGGCAATGAGTGCGATGGTAAAGCATCAGCGGCCGAGGAGGCCTTGTGCTGCTCCTCCCAGTCGCCATCTGCTCTCGTGACTCGCTCCGAAATCACAAGCTGCGACGGCTCACTTGTCGTCTCTTTCGTCGGAGCTACTGCGGCTTCGGATAGCTTGGGAGCTGCGTTTGTCGTCTCCGCCTCGTCCTGACCGTCATTCGCCCGCTCAATCTCGATCTCTGTCAGCCGAGGCACTCAGATCGCCGCCATCGGGACCTCCTCGTCCCACCAGTCATCGTCATCATCGCACCAGTTAAACGACGACAGTTGCGCTAGCAGTTGTCTTATTTCCACGAATCGTCTTCGATCAGCTTCCTCCAACTCGTGCTCTTGAGAACTGGACATGATTATGATGTGGTGCCTGTTAACCGGAACAGCAACTGCTGCTGCAGCTGTCTTCTCGGCCGCCACTCTTGGTTCTTTCGACGCGGCGACTGTGGTTTTGAATAGAGCCTACCGCGGAATACTCCCGGACAGCGGCAAGAATGAGGTAACCTCGTTCCTTGTCACTTCTTCCAACTTCGACTTCAAAAGTTTTGTGAGTTCTTTGATTAAGAGCTCTTCGAAGTTGGTCGAAACCATGGTACGAGTGCCACAACCAGGCTCTGATACCAATTGTGAGAACCTCGCTTCTAGGGATTCTCGACACTGATCTTCGGCACTTGTGATAATGAGGGATTGAGATTAAGAATTAGGGATTTAGATGAGAGAGAATAGAATTGGGAATCGGCCGAGGCCTTGGACTAGGATGAGACGAGAAATTAAGAGGAGAGTTTAGGGTTTAGGAGACTTTGCTTAATATTCTTCTTGATTGATTATGACGTAAACCCAAAGTACATATTTATAGGGAAAAACTGGAAAACCCTAATAATAATCCTAATACGACTAAATCTCTACTAACCATAATTATAATTATCCTACCTTATATAATAACAGAAACCCCCTAATAAATGTGTTTCTCACAGCTACTTTGCTGTGATGGAAAAGAAACTGAGCTGAAAGTCTGGCTTGAAGGATTCATGGGTCGAGTCCGGCTACTTCCCTATTGATAAACAGTCAGTTAGAGTTCTCACAAGATACAACCAATAATTGATTGAAATATGAGCTAACCGTACCATCAAGCATCCACTATAAAACAACACCAGTTGGCCTTATAGGTGCTCCATTTCACTATAGATCATTTACACAAACATGGTAGCTTGAATCTGTAAGATGGCAGAGGATTAATCAGCTAACTTCACCTCCAAAATAACATATGTCTTCCTGTGTGTACACCATTTCTCCCTTATAATGAAGTTCGATTGTGAAATAATCATCATTATGTCCTAAATGAAAACAAACAATATAACTAAATAACATGTATTCACATTTACCGCAGCAAATTGCAGCTGCAAAATGGCAGAACAGGAAAAATGCAGCGACCTTTAATTGGAAAACTCACCATATGTCAAAATTTGGTTAGTTTCCCCTACTTCTCTAATGCTTGGACGCATTTTCTAAACTCAAACGACAAGAAAACACGAGCTTGGAGTGGTTTAACCTGCATTTTCACCCATTGATAAGCCGACAACGAAGAAGAAGAACATAGCCGAAAACAGAGCAACAACCAGAGGAATCAGATGGAAAAGGCTAAACTTGAGACAAGAAGAAGTGAGATATGACTTTATTTAGCCAATTAACTACTAACAGTACAATGAAAGAAAACGGGAACAACTTATGAGCCATGCAGTCGTACTTTCATTCCATCAAATTGGAAAGGAGCTGTACCTTCCACAGAAGTTGGAAACTGTAGCGTGAAACTCTTAAAGTCTGGGCCTGAACTTTTACCTATACAAAGTGCAAACTCGAATGAAAAAGCTCATCGTTGCAAAGGTTGGCTAATAAACAACATCAGTCATGGGGAGAAGATAGCTCACCAGAGGTAACAACTTTGCGTGAACTACCTTCCTTTGCTTTTCTTTCCTCTTTTTCTTTCTTTAAAACTGCAAAAGTGGAAACATAGTTGTATGGCGTCCTTCGAAGGATACAGAATCGACGGAGATTTCTTCCTTCTTCGTCCGATGGTCTCACCAAGTAACAGCTTGGTGATTTTTTTTTTCTCTGCTGGGAAGGGTGCTTGACGTTTAAGCTCCTGGAATCCAGTTTGAAGTCGGCTGTTTACCTGAGCAGGAATTGTTTGGGTTTTTTGGGTCATGGTAAATTACGTCTGGGCACCTACTATTAGTTCGATGGACGGAAATAGTAACGGTGCTACAAGATCTTAACGTAAATGGTTTAGTTGCAACAAAAAGTATTTAGGTGGTTAACGTGCAACAAATAGTAAACTTAAGTGTTAAATGGTGCAATTAACCCTAACAACTAGGGGTGGGCAACGGGACGGGACGGGTATCCCGTCCCGTTTTAAACGGGTACCCAGTCCCATTTGGAGGCCAAAGTCCTTCCCATATCCCAAACCCATATGGGAAACGGGTACCCATTACCCGTACAGGACGGATAACTGGTACCCATAATACCCATAAATACCCAAAATTTCATTCGCTTGACTGGCTTCATTCCCTTGACTAGCCATGGAAACTATAAACCAAATCAACATAAACCAAATAGACAGATGCTGGAAATTAGAAACATAATTAGTAACATAATTAGTAACTAGTAGAACAAACTTAACTAGTAATTAGAGTCCAGAATATGTACTATAAGTAGAAAAGAAAAGAGAATGGCAGCAGCATACCTAAATAGATAACCATGCGGGGTGAATGGTGATGCTGCTGATATTCCCCCTGCTCCTGGCTGGGAAAGTTGGTTGCTGCTGGTCTGCTATTGGAGACGGCGCAGCAGAGTGAGAAGAAGGAAGCCGCCGCGGCCCGCGCCGGTGAATGAAGGAGGAAGTGCGCGGAGCGGCGGAGACGCGGAGGCGGAGCTAGCGAGCTAGGTCTCGCTGTCGGCCTGTCGCCGAGGCTGGCGCTGCGGCTGCGCTGGGTGGAGGACGCTCTCTCGCACTCTCGCTGTCTGACTGTCTCGCAGTTGAGTGAAAGCCGAAAGGGAATGGGCAGCCAGGCAGGGTGAGGGTCGACTAAGGGTAAGGGCCGAAATGGCCAATGCCCAATGCCACATTTCTGAATTAGTGAATTGGGTTGGGGTGCTGGGCTGTGGGCTATTTCTGGTAAATGAGTATAACGGGTACCCACATTACCCAAACGAGTATTTGCGAGTAACCCGCGTGTACTCATATTAGGAATGTACAATCCCAAATCCCATCCGTTTATAATAATACGGATAATATGGGTACCCGTAACCCTTAAAAAACGGGACGAGTACGGGTATACCCAAATACCCGTTTCCCGTTGCCCACCCCTACTAACAACCAGCCCGCGCGTAATGCATCTTATCCTATTGCAAATAAACAACCAGCCCGCGCGTCTAGGAAGAGAAAAATAACAAACAAATGAAGGCCCATCTCGACTAAACTGCGACTTACCAACGAGAAGCGGGCCCAGAAGCCCAAATCAACGTCCTCTGACTATTTTGTTTCCCGCCACCTCCAGTCTTCCAAGCTCCGATAGTCTTGCACAGTATCCATCACTGAACAGCACAGAGCCTCAAGAAGAAGAACTTTGTCGAACAAGAAAGAGAAGCGAACGGAAGATTTCAATCTCTCGCATGTCATCCGTGATAAAGTCTGAGCGTTTCTGCTTTGATCCTCTGCGTCTGCGTGTTCATCTCTTTGGTGATCAACAACCGTCATCTTCCCGACGCTTCCGTCTGCCACCGTCTTCTCCTTCTCCATCTCAACAATCTCCCACACTCCCCTTCTCCTTCTTTTCCTGCAGAGTATATTCAGGAGAACAACATTAATTTCCCCCAAGAAGATGAGGAAAGTCTGAGCGTTGTTACTACTTCTGGCGTTGTTGATGGCAAGATTCTAGGGTTTCTATTTCTGGTACCAATTTTGGCGTGAGCATAGATCTACTTGTCGTTCTGATCCAAGTAAAGTAAAGTACAGTCTTTCTTTCTTCCTTCCTATCCATCTGTTTTTGGTCTTGATCTAGTCCCAATTTGATAATAGGGTTTGTTGATTTATCCAGGATGTGCTGCCTCTCTCTTGTTAGATGCTGTTGTGGGGGGGAATGGCATCCGAGAAAGACTCTCAAGCTAATAAGGGTTCAAGGGGATTTGATGTCATTGACACTATGAATTCAAAAATTGAAGAAGCATACCCTGGTGTTGTTTCTCGTGCTGTTGTTCTTGTCTTCTAGCAGCCAGAGAAGCTAGTGTTCAAGTCGCCATTTTTTAGTTGGTTTCAGCTACTCTGTCTTGTATTGAGTAGGTTTTCGTGTTGAACTTATTATCGTGAACTGCAGAAAGGTAGTACCTGAGCTTACAAAGATACTGCAACATTCGAGCCTCCTTCGCCCCATGTTGATATATCTGAGACGCTTGCTGCCTTCCCATCTAGGGCTTTTCATGAAAGGGAAACTATTAATCTTTATTCCTTCTCCTGTGCTTTATTTTCTGACACTAAGAGATTCTGTTTTATGAGCTTGCATCTGTGGATTGTTTGTCAACACAAATATATGATTTTCTGCATGCTAAGTTGTTGGTCCAAAGTCTCTACCAAGCAGCTCTTCACATTATGTAGATTGAGCTTGTATATTCTGCTTTACATTTTAATTTCCTCCAGAAGGTTTAGTTTGCTTATTAATTAGGAAATGTGGAGACCAACTCACGTTATATTTGAAAGAAACTTACCTAGTTGAGTTTTCCACCTGCATTTGTACCTTCTGCCAATGAATAGGCACATGATCACCATATGATATTGTGTAACTTCAACGTCTTTCATTTTTGATCTGTTTTGCTGATCAAACGGCCCATGTGTATCCAGGTTGTCACAGCATCAAAGTGATCCATTGCGGATTCTTCAATAATCGTCTGTATAACTTCAGTGGCAGTAACAAGCCTGATCCATCTCTTGATGATACGTTCCTTCACCTACTGAGATCTAGATGTAACGACAAGCAGCATACGTCGGCAAAACCACAAGAACCGGCCTTTCATCCCCCAACGTTAAACACCTTCCTTTGGTAACTCAAACCCACCATCAACAATACCAGCACCAACACCTTCTGTGCATGGCCCTGAACCAGCAGCAACACGACCAGCTTCAGCACCCTTCGAAGCATCTTTGTTTTCAATTCCACTTTTCAGCTCAAAGCCATCATCATCAACTCTGGCGCCTTCCTTTGGCAGCTGGCCAACACCATTTACTGAACAAGCACCTTCTATCAACGGCTTAGAGCTATCCACGGCAATACTGATATCCTCACCATAGTTATCAGCTGCATATTCTCCTTTGTTCCTTGGTCCTTTGCCTTTCTCGTTACCATTAAAGTCGGCAAGACCATCAGATTGCTCCATGCATCTGTTACAATCTAAAGTTGAGGTTCAAGGAATGGATATGGGCTGTGAGGGACGTGGGGTAACATTTGGGACTCTATACCATCACATGCTTTTGCAAGGAACGGGAATCCTCTATGTGGATCAGCATTCAGCAGCTAACTGCTGGTGAAGAAACCGGAGTTTGGGTCGGAGGATATGCTTCAGATAACGGTATGTTTTGTAAGGACTTTGCTCAAGTAATGATGAAGTTTTCCCATCTCCACGTCTTGGCTGGATCAATGGGGCAAGTCCGATTTAATCTGACGAAAGGAATAGAATATGCAGTTAGCAGTTGGCCCTATCTTTCATAATCACACTTGTGATGTTGTAAATCCTTTCTTCATCCTCTGGTATAGTGTTGAAGATCTAGATGAACACTCAAGGATGCTAGCTACTTAGCATACATTCTGTTGCTCTAAATGTACTTCCCCTGGCATCAATCATAACTGTAAGGGCCACTTTCTGCATATACATGAAAGGGAACTACTTGTATCTTTCATCTTTTCAGAACAATTGGAAAGTATAGAAAGGCGAATTCGGGATGAAGCCCCTGATCCACCGATCTTCAATGTAACAGTCTCAAAAAACAAGCATGAGATATCCAGGCAAAGGAGGAAACTTTGCAAAGAGTATAAAAAACCCAGAAAGCAATTTGACACACGGAGTATAATACCAAGAGGGTAAGAACAGAGAAGGAGAAATTTAAGAGTACAAGCAAGGAACCAATTGATATGTAATAAACATGACTAATAAATCCAATCTATAATCTAAAGGAACCAAGTCTTCTTCTTGAGCTGTTGACTGAAGCAACAGAAGCTTGATGAGGGATGGTGAATTCTTGGTACATATCAGTGAAGAACTTGTCAACGATGTCGAGATAGACAGGGCTCTTGAGTCTTGAATAGTAATGAAGCGCTTCTTCCACATCCAAAACATGTTCAACATCACTCACATCGATCATCTCAAGTTCCTTCATCTTCCTTGCCAAGGCATAACTCTCTTCATTGCTCATCTTCTTCTTCTTCAACTGCTTCTTGGATGAACATTGCTCTTCTTCTTCTTGACCACCAAGTTTCTTGCTTCGCTTGCTGGTGCTCTTCTCATCCTTGTGCTGCTTCTTCTGCGGTTTCTTCACTGGACTGGTTGAGACAGCCTTAATTGGGCTCACATGGCAAGTAGTGGATTGACGATGAGCTTCCCTACTTGGTGCTGCTGGTGTCTCCTTGGGAGCCATGATTGGTTTGTGGTTGGTGGTTTTGAGCTTCATGACTTTCTCAAGATCACACTCCAATTCATTGCAGAAGTTGGTGTAGTACTCATGATCTGCTATGTGATCCGGGTTGAACCCAGTTCCACATGAGAAAGGGTTGTTGAATGGAGGCTTGGGCAGCTTCTGGTACCCACCAAAGAGGAGGGACTTGAGGGTTAAAAGAGTGGTTTGGAAGAAAGTCTTGGTCTTGTCTATGGATTCTCTCAGCTGCATTTGGGTGGGATTGTTTGTGAAAGAGTTGAGAAGGTGGGGTTTTTTTTTTGAGTTCCTTCCCTCTCTCTGTCTCTACAAAGGCTTCTGTGGAGACAAACCCAGAAGCTGTATTGAGATCAACTGGGGGTTGTATGTTCCTTCTTCTTCGTTGCTTCTGCTGTATTATACTTGATGATAAAAGAGAAATGGAGACAAATGCAAAAGCAGCACACTCTCTCTCCTTTCTGTATAGAGTATAGAAACATAGACACCGGGCACTTCTCTATCTGTTTGCCTCTTTTCTTTGCTTTTATTTGTCCCCACTCTTGAATGTTGTTGTTTTATCTTTGGGAAGATACTATTCACCGTTGGATCTGTGGAGGGGATGCAGGATGGTGATGGTTTCCAAGCATAAAGTTGTGGTCTTTCCCCATTGTTTTGAGTTTGTCAAGGTGGGGTTTTGGCAATTGGTAGTTATGAGAAATACAAATCCAATTCTTGCCTTTTTCTTTCCTATCTTTAACTCTTAACAAAGCAAAAGCAAAAAAGACAAGTTGCTGCTGGTTTAGATTTAGTACACACACAAACCCTTTCTGGTGCAAAACGTGGTTTAGTATATAAAAGGATTAGAAAGAGAGATGAGTGAAACTTTTGGAATCAAAATCATAACTTAACTCCTTGGCATCCATTACTATATTTTGATTTGTATGTTGGTCTTACTTATACATTTCGAAAGAGGAACTATATTGTATACATTTGGTTTATACTGTGTACTCAATATTTTTAGTTTTTTGCATGTTAGTTATTCTCAGGTCTTTGATTTAACTTTTGACTTAGGTTAGGTATGATAGTTTTGAAGCTTTTAACTTCGTATTGATTTATAAGATAAGTTACGATGTTTTGTTACATCCTATTTACAAAAGAAACATGCTCTCCGAGATTTATCGTTGTTAATAAGATCATTATGAATGGCATAATTTTTTTTATTAAACTTTGACTAAATGTTGTCTAAAGTGATGTTGCATTGATTAAGATGCAATCATGCAAAGTTAAAGGGAGTGGGGGGTTGGTGGTGACGAATGCATGCATATATAAAAAAGGGTTGTAATGAAATTCTAAACAAGAACTGCCGCCCTCCAATGAATTCAGCTGAAACTTTTATCAAAGTTCGACTCCAAATTTTGAAACTTTCTTTTGCCCAAATTTTGAAACTTGAGGGAGGGAGGGAGGGAGGAAGGGACCCTCTCATTCTTGCGGAAATTGGCCCTTCCCTTTGGACTCTCTCTGCCTTCTTTAAGCCTGTCTGTCTGTCTGTCTGTGTACACAGCAAAGCTTAGCATCTATCTACTAAGCATGTCCTCACAACTGATTAATGCTGAGGGCCATCCATACGATTAATACGTTACACAATTTTATCGGATGTCGCAAAAGCAACGATTAATTTGGTACACAATCAACAAGACACCTTGTTGTCTTTGTTAATGTTACCCATTCAATGGTGTTCCCAAAATTCGTGTGCGGGGTCGCATTCGTCATACTTGCAAAGATAGGCAGCCTTTACTAGACGAAGTTATGCCTGTATCGATATATTGCATCGAAGGTTGTATCAAAATAAGTCAATAGTTGGATATTTTTGTACTAAAGTTATGATCCAACCATTTCATATTGGTAAAATTCAATATCAGCTTAGACTTTGATAGACATTTTTCCAATCGACTCGTCATTACGATATGATTTAACAAACCATGGAATTATGTAATACATATATTTTTTTTCTCCCTTCGAACAACAAAAACCTTTATAGTATATTGGACTATGTAAGACATTATGGAAACAAAATCTCCAAAAGATGACGATTTGCATATATAATTGTAAATTATTGTTAGAAAATGGCATACAATTCTTGGTCTGAACGAACATTCACGTGATTAATAAGTTAACACAATATTATTTTTATGAATATACATGATCTAATACAATCAATACACATGATCTAATACAATTGATACACCCATTTCTCGTACCAATACGAAGAATAATTTGGTCACTGACAGGTTTATCAGAAACATAGGTTCATATTTCTTGCACGATCATTCCACAACATCCATAAAACCATAATATACTGGACTCGATTATGTATGACATTCTGAGCTAAAATCACTCATTTCAAGCAAGAAAAAAAAAAAAAAGCTTCCCAATGGGCATGTTGTGAAGTTACAGACTTGCAGTCCAGCTCTAGAGCTGTCCTAATTGCATGCCACATCTGCTAATGTTTTTGTTTTTTTTTAAAATATAGGGCCTTCTTTCGAGGACAAATCAAACTGTACAATATCGTGTGCAAGGGGCAACCTCACACCCATGCACAAGCAAAGCACAACTGTGGCTAGCCACTTACTCTGCCAAACAATAGCAGAATGATATTGTGTTAGAAGAGAGCAGGCGAGGAAGGAAAGGAAGGCAACTACCCTTTCATTCAGAACCCTCCATGCCCACAGGAATCGTAGGTGAAGACTCTCCACAGCATTTATTCATATGTTAAGAGAGAGAGAGATATATGGAAGGAGATAAAGGCGCATTTAGATTGCTGGAAGAGCATAGAGTAAAGTCACTTTCTGCCAGTTGCCAAGTTAGGACTCTGTCACAAACTCAGCATTTAATTTTGCCCTGCAAACAGCTCCCTCTGGTAAATAAGCTGACCCCAACATTCTGAACTTCCACCTCTAATCATAAGCTATCTTATTCTTGGACAGACCCCACAAGAAAATACAAACTGATTTCATTACTTTGCCTCTATACTTCAACGATTTACAAATCGGTGCAGTCCAGAAGGAGCATAAGAATCACTATAAACTAGCCAGAAGGAACATAAGAATTAAGTGGGTAACTTGGTAAAAGTAATGTCTAGCTAACCTGGCCAAGGATTAAGTACGGCTCATTTCCAGCTCCCCAGCCTGGATTCCGACTTCATCAGGACACCAGAATTGACCAGATCGTTGAAGAGTAGTGATTTGACATTTGGACGCGAGTAGTTCACTGCGGCCCTCTTTTCTTGTTGAATTTGAAGAACTGATGAAGCAGCCTGTGTACTTCTCCATAGTTACTCGTTGTAGAAACAAGACTGTCTTTTATCCAATTTGGAAGCTTGTTAGTTGGATGAGAAGCGCTTATTCTCGAGACATCGGATGATCCATAACGCCTATCAACCAACAGAATCGCTGCATAGTCATTCACATGCCGAATCGCTCTACCTAAAACACAAAACGAACCGGAGAGGTGAGGCGAGAGGCAGAGCGAAAGAGGATTAGAACGTGCTAACGGATAAGGAAAGTAGTAAACATTTCCACTTACCGATTGATTGGTTCACAGCTTTCATGCAGAGGTTTTCATAATAGTCTTTCCCTCTGCGCTTGCAGCTTCTCAATATGCTAAATGAGGCCTGCACGTTCCGTGTAGTATAATGCTCATCATCCCAGTTGGAAGTCTTGGTGTAATTTTTATCTCCCAAGCTTTCAATGTACTTCACTCTCTCCATCAGCTCTATGTCGGAAGGACTTGGATAAGGTAATCCGACCATGACTATGCATCTGCCCATCCCATCACTAAAGTTAATGCCTTCAGATACTTTACCACCAACTACGGCCAGAAGGATTGCCCCATTGTAAGGTACTACTACATCTTGTTTTACTCCCCTGAAAATGGTCTCCTTGTACTCTTTCAGGACAAGTTCCACGTCGCAATTCTTTCTTGGTTCTCGGAAGACGCATTTTTTCTTCATCAGCCTTTCAAGGATGCCCGATGCCTTCCATGCATCATGCACTTGTTCTTCATAATCGAAGGATGAGAAGAATACAACTATGCCTTCAGGAACAACTGTGACCAAATTGCATAGCAACAAGCCCATCTCATTTATCTGTAAATGCCACAATCCACAGCAATTAGGCCTTAAGTGGTAAACAAAAGTAATAGGACCAACTTCATGATAGCTGTATGCTAACCGTGGTTGATGAGCTTCTTGTGCTGTAGCTAAAATCGAAAGGCTGACCAGAAGGGCCATGAGAAACTGAAATCGGCAAAATACTTTGAGGAGGGACAATATGACCACATGAAAAGAAATGCAGCTGATTGGGTGGTAGCCACGGGAAGAGTCTCTCCCTTGTCTCTTCAATAGGTTGCAGGGTTCCTCCAGCCAGTAGAACAGCATGAGCTTGATCAACAATCTGCAGTAAAGAAAGGAAGGATTCTGCATTAACTCCATAGGTTCCATATGATTCGGTCTCTTGGAACTCCTCATCCCAATTGAAATAGAGGGTTCAATAATTTAAGTACTGTCACTGAACTAGTCAAATTTCATGATGAGCACAATATAGTTGAAATTAAAGCAAGGGGATATTCAACGAACCTCTGAGAAAATCTTTTCCCCAGTGAGCATAACATATTTTAAGGTACCTCCTTGTGGTTTGTGGCATGCTGATCTTGCTTTTGAGATTATTATCCGGCCATCACCATCTTTATGTGTTAGTGATGCCAATATGTCAACCAGAGCCCTGAAACTAGAAAGAATGCTTCCCTCTGCAAGAGACTCTCCGTTTTCACTAAGAAGCGGAACTTTCTGGAGGCTGGTGATTTTCTCTCCATAGCCGCTTACCTGAAGAACCAAACTGTAGCAGCTTCAGTCATTGCATTGAGACATGGGCTATAAGGGACTGAAGATTTTGTCATGCATTCAAAGAAACAGTAAGAATCAGATTCACCTTGTGAATCAGGTTGCTCTCTTTTACATACCGTAGCAGCTTAACCAAGTTAATGTTATCGATGTTCAGAGAAAATAAAAATTCATTGATAGCTACAGAAGTTTGAAATATGTTATCTGAATCAACAGCATCCTTTTCCACTTGGCATCCATGTATATCAGCAGACCCCAGGTCACCACATAGAGACCTCAAGAATGCTCTTGTAAGAACCATCAGAGTTTGGATATATCTTCGATTGCCAGGTCCTAAGAGATTCTGAAATCTTGTAAAGTACTTCTCAATATGAGAATACAGAAGATCCAACTGAGTAACCACAAAAAAGGTAAATTAATCTCCTCGTTGAATTCAGAAGCCACTTCAATCCGTTAGGAAATCGAAACTAGTTCTGACTCAATAAAACAAACACTGAGTTTCCTAGCTAGTCTGCATTCAATAAGGAAGAATCAGAGAGAATAGTATACCTGGAAAGAAGTAACTTTCGCATCATACATATTGATAAGGGAATCTGCTAGATTATGAGCCTCATCTATAATAACAATATTCTTCTTCAAATTTAGACCTAGTGATTCTCGGGATGATTTTGATAGCAAGGACTGGTAAGGTAGAACCACAAGATCAGCTGCTGGAATCATACTCCTGGATCCATAATATGGACATGTTCCCAAGCTTTTTCCAAGCTGAACAAGATCTTCAATGTCCAATGCTCCTTGTTGAGAAACCTCTTCCCTAAATTCCTTTTGAAGGCTCTGCTTTCTGAGCATTGGGCATCCGGAGGAAGCTTTGCTCCTACGGATTTTTCCTTCCACTCCTAAGACCTGCTCACAAGAATCTCGATTACTCAAAATGGAAAAAGAAAAACCATAAAAGGCAGCTTTTACATACATCTTTCTGAAACCAGATGATGCTAGAATAATAGCATTGACTGAGGACATGAGGAGACTTAGTACGCACATATGCATGTACCTAGAACTACTATCAAGTAGTTCTGCCATACCTTGACCTTAGAGACCTTATCTTTCTTCTTCTTTTGAAGTTCCAAGCACCGCTCATTGATGCATCCGGAATTCCCATGTTTCAACACATCTGAAAATTCGTCAATCAAAAACCAAATTCAGCCACGAAAAACGAAGCCCCCCACAGATCATTCAGAGTCTCACCTTCATTAATGCACAGATTCTTCCTAGAGGCCAAACAAACCACATTTACTTCCCCAGGGAAAACAGTCTTCCTCAACTCCTCTACGAACTGTGACAGCTGCGAATGAGTCCTGCTACAAAAGAAAATCTTAAAATCTTTCTCCTCCACCTCCTCCTCATCAGATCCATCGTTTCTATCTTCATCGTCACTTGATGAACAATCACCTCTACCACCCTTCCTCTTCGATTTCCCACCCCCACCAACAGATCCTTCTTCACCTTCACTTTCATACTCTTCCAACAAAAATTCATTCTCGTTCACGTCAAGCCCATCATTCTCTTCTTTCCCCACATTACTCAGAACCGCTCCTTTGGAAATCCCATAAGCCCTCCTTTTATCATATTTTACCAGTCCGGACTTCTTCTTACTAGCTTTCTTCTTAACAAGATCAGCATCTTTACTCGGGACAAAGCTTCTCATCCATTCAGGTTCATCATCTGATCCAACTTTATCCTCCTTGTTCCCATTTGGAAGCTCAGATTCTATTTTAAGCTTCTCCTTTTGCCTTCGATCCAAAACCCATTGGACAGAAGAACATATAATGCTGAGAGTCTTCCCAGTCCCTAATTGACTTTAAGACATCAGTATCCAACCAAAAAATAAGGTACTCAATCGGGGAAAAGAAAATGAGAGAGACTAAAATCCTAATTAATATAACAATACACGACATTCAGTAGTCTGTAATTGGTAGAATTTGCCCAAATTCCGAAGGAAATACTCATTCGTATAAACCCATTTGGAGCTTTTCACACAAGGAGCAATCCCGTCCAGAGCAGAAAGCGGAGAGGGTATGAGGCGGCGAAAATTTTAGCTGTGGGGAGAAAGAGAGAGTACCAGTAGGGCTTTCAAGCATGGAAACGCCGCCGCGGTCTAAAGATCGATAGAGTGCCTTCATGAAATCAATCTGAATCGAATATGGCTGGTAAGGAAATCCCGGAAACTCCAGCTCGTCGTCTTCCATCTTCTCCGCCATCGCGGCTTCTTTCGAAATGATTTTCACTGGACTGAAGTGGTTAACGCAGCAGCCACCGTTTTCTGCTGCTCAGAGCTCAAGCTCAACCAGTGTAATATAATTTTCCCGGGGGAAGAGGCTGAATTTTCCCGCGGAAAACCCAATACGGAAAGTCAGTGCCGTACCAGGCCCGGAGCTCCTTCCAAATCCAAACATTCGGCCCATGTTGACGAAGGATAGCAGCGCTTTAAGGTCCATTCTTGCAAGTAATAACCAATGCGGAGGCCCAACCAATACGAGCCCGTAAAGCCCACGCACTCGGCTGCGAGGTCTGGTTCCTATTTTAATTTCACATAACCCTGAAAACCCTAGTATATAAACCTCTCTCCAGCGCCACTCTGTTGTTTCTCTAAGCTTATTAGAATCCGCGCATCCTCCCTCCATTAGCGTTAGGGTTTCTCTGCTGCGTCTGCTCCGATGGTAAGAAGCTCTCCTCGCCGTCGGCTCCCTTTCCGCTGTCTGTCTTTCTTCTCTGTTTGTTCTTCCGTCGAGGTTCTGATCTTCTCTCGTTTGGTGTTTTCAGGGTAAGGGTACAGGGAGTTTCGGTAAGAGGAGGAACAAGACCCACACGCTATGTGTGAGGTGCGGCCGCCGCAGCTTCCATCTCCAGAAGAGTCGCTGCTCCGCCTGTGCTTACCCAGCTGCCCGCTTGAGGAAATGTATGTCCTGTTTTGCCCTTTCTATCTCGCTTTTTCTTTTGTTAGTTTATTTGATTTCCGATTGCTGTTCATTTTGGGGACCTTTGAATCCGAGGGTAGAAATTGGGTGGCAATTTTTGGTGATGTATGTGTTGTGTGGTCTGCTCTGTGATTTAATTGGGTAGAGTGAAATAGACTCCTGAGTTGCCTTGGGGTTCTTGATTGAGCTCTTTGCACAGTTCAGGATTCAGGATAACCTCAGGTTGAGGCTGTTCCTAATAGATGATCTCTCGTATTCCTGATAATTGAGGGTATGTGCGATGTTCTTTTGGATTCATTATACCGTAGGTTCAAGTTGTTGTGAAGTGCTTTTTTAAGACGCTGTTTGGTCTCGCCTTACGGTGCAAAGTGTACTGTGGGTGATGCATTGGTTGTTCATAGTGTTCTAAGTGAAGGAATGCAGACAGTACAACATGGTCACTATGTTGATTTTGCTGTATGTTATGTCTTGTTGTCTTTGCTCTGAATGTCTTGTTTTGTGGTTGACTTGTTAATTTATAATGCTTTTCAGATAACTGGAGTGAGAAGGCTATCCGCCGAAAGACCACTGGAACTGGAAGGATGAGGTACCTCCGTCATCTTCCCCGCAGGTTCAAGAGCGGCTTCAGAGAGGGTAAATTAATTTTAACACATCCCTCTGTTCATCAAGTAAAAGTGCAATATACATTGTTGTAATTGAGATGGTTCTTGTTTGATCAGGTACTCAAGCTGCACCAAGGACAAAGGGAGTTGCAGCTTCCTCTTAAGATGCGAAGTCCTTTCGGGGTGCACAATGCTTAGCAGGGCCTCTAGTCATTGTGTTGGTTAAAAGTTTTACCAGAACATTGTTTTATGTTAATTTACTTTTTGATGGTCTGTTTAGAAGGAAACTTTAGTCTTTCGAAGATTGTAGTTTCTGTGAGAGATTTCTGAGACAATGTATTTTGTTAAAGGTTCCTATGAGTATCTGAATTTTGGGTAATGTGTTTTTGATGGTATAAGTTCTGGGAAATGTGTTGATCAATATTGTCGGCTTTCCTCTGCTTGATAGATTATGATTCATGTTATCTCTGAAGTTGCTGTCATTTGCTCATTGTTTTGATTAATTGCTAAGCAAAAAAACGTATTAATTGTGTCGCCTTTGGTTGTTGGTATGGTAATATCATTAGGTAGAGAAGGGGATGAAGTTCCTCGATTGCAAAGAGACGAATGAAATTGATTGGTAGCCCTCCTTTTCCTCAGTCTGATGAAAGAAGTGATTTTGCCTCTTAAATTCGTTAGCAGATACTAACTGATATGTCTGCTAACTGATATCCAAAATACATGAATTAGTATCCAAGTACTTAAATATCTAGATAGCACAAATTAGTATTCAAAAGCACAAATTAGTATTCAAAGTTGGCTAACTGATATCCACCATGAATCAACTATTATCCCAAATTCACAAACTAATATCTAAACAACACAGAATAGTATCCATACAGCACATAAATAGTATCCATACAACACATAAGAGTATCCAGATAACACATAAGAGTATCCATATTGAATACTAATTGGTTGGTTGTGGATATTAGTTGGTATCTGCTATCTGGATACTAGTTTGTGATGTTTTGAATACTAGTCTGTGCTATCTAGATACTCAATAGACTTGGATATTAGTTCATACATTTTGGATATTAGTTAGTATATACTAACGAATTTTCTAGTTAGCAGAATAACTAGGAAAAACACCTCATAGCATCCGTTTTTATTTACCGAGAGCTTCTAACTATTGTGATTCTTGTTTGCAGAGCTTCTAACTATTGTGATTCTTGTTTGCTGCTGACTATAACTTGAATTTTGCAACTCTCCACTGACTAGTGGTGTGAACCAATTATATTTCAATCGGCATCCTGAGAATGTTAAGAATGAAATGGGATGTGTGTATCATCGCTATTAAACTTTACACTATATTTCCACTCTTTCCATCTCACAAATGTACACAAAATTCATTACATTTGTGCATCCCATCCCGTATACGCGAAATGTAAAAAGAGAGGACACTCCCAACTGGCAAAAACTCAATAGTGAGCAGTATGGATCAAGCACGGAAAGCAGCCACACGATAGAAGCCTAGTTCGCTTCAGGAGACATGAAAGCATCCATCACATAAAGAGCTGTTCTCCAAACTGAATGGGACTCACTCTGCTTTAAGTTCCCCAAATTTGCTCTTTTCTTCATGCAACTGCCTCAAACTATAATCCATCTCCGGAAACGCGGATAGGAGCACCAGCTCAATGAGATCATAAGCCAGCTGCTTCAAACAAACTGGTGACTGCATTCGAAACAAAACACCAAGTCAGGAGCTGCATATCGTCATCTTAGTTAGCTATTATCTTATGCCAAGCAAGAGACATGGGTATCAAGGTATTAGGTATGGGCACGAGAATAGGGAACTACCTGAATAAAGAAGTATACATCTTTGACGCACTGCTCATACTCCTTTCGACCGACGAGACCTATGACTGCAGTTGGTGCATTCTCTGCACAGCAAAACAGATTGTCAGTTCGTGCATTGCTGCTGTTCACATGCATCCAATATATGGAAATGCTTGAACATATAGAGACATCAAAGAAGGCATTTTATTACCGATCATTAGGTCATATACAAACTTAGCACGTCTTTCTGCTTCCCTTTGCTGATCCTCGCTCAATTGGGGTGGAGCCAAAACTGAGGGCTGTCGGCTATAAGTTGGAGTTGGTTTTGGTGAAGATGTATTCACAGTAGATGGCGGCCGTCGACTTGGGTGTTTGGTTATGAATATCCCATCAGGCCAGAGTATCTGCTCAAATCAGAGAATGAAGGCATCAGATATCTATGTGTGAGGTTAAGTTGTGCGAGGAGGATGATGCACAAAATCAGAAGCATTTAGATGGAAGTCTATAGAAGAAAGAAAGTGAGAGTAACCTGTTCAACCCTCTTGATCCCTGAAGCAATGACAGAACCTCTACGGAGGAGTTGGATTTTATCTATCAACCAATCATCCAAAGCATCCCCCATTCCCAGTTGTAACACCTGTTTAGCCATCCAAAATGCTTTCCTCCTGTACCATTGATTTGAACACAGCTCGGGACAATCATGATGGGATGTATCACGTCACTCCATGCTACCCAGGGACTGTGACTGGTGAGAAAATAAGGCATTCATGATTGAAGAAGTCTAATAACTAGTACCTGATCCATCCACTTTCTTGCATCTGGAAGATGACACCAACCAAATCTAATAGAGGGAGTGCTAGGTTTGGTGGCACCCACTGTAGTGAAGAAAGAAAATGTGAGCATTACCTTTCTTCTTAATTTACAGTTTCAGTAAAACCTTCACAGAAAGTGGGCCAGTCACTAGTTACTACCTCAGGAGGAATATTAGAATCTACATGAAGCGACTTTGCTGTTTCCTGTAAGCCATTGCTTTCACTCCTTTCTGCAGTATTGCCTAAATTTCTGATGCGTGAAACATTGCTTTGGACATCTGAATCACTGCCTGAATTTTCCAGAGGTTTTGGGAAATCTTTACCAAGCCTGTTCTGCATATAACTTGGCGCATTGTTCACACTCTCCTTGACTCTGAGTGGTGCAACACCGACTGGCTTCTCCGTCTTCAACAGGTCCTTTCGCTTGAAGGGATCTATAGCAGATCCAGAAAAATTTACACCCTTCTCACTACTTTCAGATACCTTATCCCCAAGGTGAACTAGAAAGTTCCAATCAAGAGAAGTCAAGAAAATGAGCCCCAAAGAGAGAAAAAGAAAACAACAACAGAAGATCACATCAAGAACATCTTTGTTACCTGATAATGTTTCAACGATAGAGAAGGAACTTGAGAAACTGTATGTCTGCATTACGAAATCAACACCAAGTTAGTCTAGTAACACGCGGAGTAGCTAAAATCGGAACCGAGAGGAGAGTTAAAGAAATATTCAAATGACAAATATGACACCTGAGAATCAACGCTAAGGAAGTCCCAGATTTCAATAGATCCTGATATTTTGGGAGTTTGAAGCAGCCTCTGCAAATAACAGGATGTTAAATTTCGGTACATGTTGATATTAAAATACAAATTAAGTTGCTTATTGAGCTATGTGCCTTTGTATCTATCTCCGCAGGTATGTATCAATATTCAGACAAATAATACTAAACCACCAAAGTTGGTAAGGGACCTAAAGAAAATCATATCCAACCTTGAGATATTTGTCAAGTAAAGTACAGCGTTCTTGAATGACAGGCATATCTAAACCTGTTGAGAGAAAATGCTTTGGTGGCAAATGAAGGCTATACTCTGGATACTCTTTAAGACGTCGATGCAACTCCTCAAAATGACGAAACCTGTCCAAGAGAGGCAAAATAAATAAGGAGACCATGGAAGAAAAAGAATATACTTTAGAGAATAACTATAAAATGAAGACAGTTTGACAAAGAATTGCAGTAACACCTTCTCTTGATTGACCAACTGTTACCATTAACATCCGTAACTGATATGGAATATACAGCAAAAGTCTTGGAGTCACTCTTCACAATATTTGCGCCCAATACCTATAGAAACAATTTGGCTTACTTTGCATATGTCAGCATTTACAAAATTAGCTAAGCAACTGAATAAAACACACACCATGAATGTAATGCAAATACCTCGCATCTCAACTTAAAGAAAGAGTCTAACATCATTGCTCTCATTGCACTTGCAGAAGGGGTATGAATTTCGGGGTGAAGAAGGGAGGGTGTGGATGAACAACCCACTGTTCCAGTAGAAAGCCTGCTCCAATTTTCAACCTCAGAATCATCTGTAGAATCGTCAGCTCTTGTGCATCCTTTTGCACCGAGTACATCCTGGCCATCTCCAGACAAGAAACTCGTTCTCTCAACTTCTTGCCAAACATGTCGACCCTGAGCACTTGATCTCGACCTTTTTCTGACAGTATGCAGTCCAGATAGTTTTTTGTGCCGAGTTTTATCTTTGCTAGGTTTCTTTACACCATGACCCAGTGGATTTTCAAGAGGATGATGAATGTGTGAAACAGGCATATTTCTGTTACTTTTACCATCCCAAACTTTAGTCCCAGGTGAATGAAGGCCCGTGACATCGGTTGCATCATCTTCTTCTTCTTCTTCAGATATATGTGTACTACCACTGCCAGAATCTGATACAACTTCATCTTCGCTCATCATTCTTTGCGCAGCATCTTCTAAATATGAAGCATGCATTGAATAATTTGACCTGTTCTCACTTCCAAGGTTGATAGGTTTATCGACTCTCGACTGCCTAAAACCTACAGAATTAGCAGCGTTGGAAGAAAGAGGAGAATCAAGCTTGGTCAAACCATCTTTCTCCTGGAGTTTTGACTGGTTTCTTGGATCATCAACCACAACTGACTTAGTAGAAGATGACTTCTGTGGTATTTGTTCAATTACCCCATTTCCACCTCCATTTTTATTGTAATTTCTCCCTTTCGTCCACATGTTCTCAATATTTTCTGGAGCAAGAGCTTTTGTTTTTCTCTGGGAAACAACATCTAGCATGTCACTCCATTGTCCTCCTGAATGATTTAGCTGACTGTCTCCCTGATTGTTAACTTGAGGGTGCAAGGGCAAAGAGCTCCATGAACGTGTAGACCTAGTATCGATAGAAAGTAATGGATCTTTCGAGATATGGATTGAATTTCCATTATCTGTTTCAGGTGTATCATCTCGACTTCTGGAGTTATCAGTTTTCAATGGCACAAGCTCAACACCAGTACCAGTAGGATCTAAGAATCTAGGAGAGTGATCGTTGGTCTCATTTGGTTTAGACAGGGATGCCTCTTCTGCCAAGGCAACCCCTCTATTAGCCTTGGAAGCTACAAAAATTTCAATCCTTTCATTGATGAACCTGTCAAGCAATTTACAGGGGAAAAAAGGGTATCTGAAACTGAAAATCTGTTGTATTTGAGGGGCATGAAGCAAAAACCAGGGTGAATAATTACCTTGGAGTAGCCAAGTTCAAAACTGGTCGCATCACTGCACAAGCAAGCAGCTCCCTCGCAAGATATCGGAAAAATGAGCATTTAAGATCGTCTG